GGTTGATGAAGTCGTTCCTTCTATGCAAAGCATCTTATTTTGGTTTACTGTGGAGTGTTGCTACTTAATTCTTTTTCTGTTATTTCACTGTTACCTGTAAACATCTATGTTAAAACAACTACGCATTATCAGTCTTTAGACAGAAGGCAGGTGGCCTCACTGAGTTATACCCTACCCGTTGTATAGCCTCAGAAATTAAACAGAAATGTTCAGAACGTTAAAATGTGGTTTTATTTGGACTAGACAAAAAGATTTTTTTCTGTTCCATGAGAAGGTTCTAGAGGCTGATATTTCAGAGCTTAGGTTTTATTCTGACACTTTTTAAAAATTGCTTTAAATAATATCAGTTGACTTTGATGGAGCTGTTGTAAACTTACTTAAGAAAAAGTAAAAGTAAGCCTATCCTTTCTGTTTTGAAGATACAGAGTTACTCTTTTGAATATCTCCTCACGTTTTTCAATGAGGCATTCCATTGCACTAATAACTATTACTTTAATAACTTTCTAAATTATTTTTAATAGGACTTGCGAAACAAAAATTTTTGAAATCAGAGATTTTTTCCTGTTCAAAAATCATGAGAAACACAAGCTACTCCTTGACTTCCTTATGTCTAGACTCTTCGGTATCTGGACAGTTTTACAATGGCCAAAAAGTTAGTGAGCTAATGAGTTTCAATCCAGCTTGATCCCACACGATGACTTTGCTTTTCAGTGGCAGACCAATATATCCATTCCAATCTGTTATTACTTTCCTGTATCAGTCATATTAACGCAGCTGCTCAATAAAATGCCAGGGGCTTCGTTTTCTTCCAACACTGAGAAGCTGCTAGTTTACACAGGTTGGTTATGCAGAAGGCTTCTAATATGTCCTAAGTCGTTTAGTCAGGATGGATATTAGATATTTAACAGGCAGATCAGCTTCTGTTGCGTCCTAGATGGTCAATAAAGTAGAAGTAGGAAGGTGCATGATTTTGCAGTGTCACTATTCAGAGTGGACCTCAGAAGAACTGAGCGTGGTCAGAGACAGGGAGCCTGAAGTCTCTCATTGCCAGCCTGAAGAGCAGGGTTATAGAAAGGAGCTGGGAGTATCTGTCTGCGTAGTTTCTGTGTTTTGACTGCCAGTGTGCAGCTGTTGTTATTGCTTTGAAATTGGTGTATCACGTACTGAAGGGAAGGTAAGCTAGATTACGAA